ATCCCAATGTGAGAGTGCATTGTGAAGGCACAACTATATCGAAAAACAGAAAAGACTGTTTCAATATGGAGAAAAAAATCAAATGGAACTGTAATTATTTGAGTTAACTAGAGAAGTATTAAAAAACTGCCTACTGAATATATGTTTAAAATGTTAGGACAAAGGTTACCCTGATGACTCTACTAATAAAATAATAAACTAGACTTTCTCCAAGTCTTTTATATGGTATTGGGCATAACATTCACCTCTCTTTGAATACATTGTGAGGAAGTAAAAAACCTCTAAATACACCAGTGGTATGAACTCATCTGTCTCCACTGAAGCCAACACATATCTGGAGGACAATTTGGTATTATTGTGATGGGAGAGAAACCATCTCTCTTTCAGATATTTGTCTCAAAATGTATAGTGATGGCAAATTACACCTAAAATGGAACAGAGAAGTAAATGATTCACCTAATTTCCATAACATTTTTCCTGTTCACAGGAATTTCAGACACATTTTCTTTTCAGATGTTATTCATTTGAAAGTTTCTGTCTGATGTGTTGTTATTTTTTAATCTATTATTTGAAAACAGTCATAAATGTCTCCATTTGTGTTTTCTATTAAAGTTTGTAGATAACTGTTAAAAAAATTACTCAATAGATTTCCATTTCCTAACTACATAATACCAAGTCACATCCAAAATTATTATTTCCACACAAAAACTATGTTTTGCAGTGTGAATACTTGCAAAGGAAATTTTGAAATTGTTTTCAAGAAAAGTAGAGTCACTAAAATTCAGCTGTAAAAATACTGGTGATAATCAAAGAAAAAGAAAAAGCACATATAAAGGGAATCAAGTCATAAACCGAGGGAAATATTAGCTAAAATTTTACTTTTACTTGTAGTTCTAATTTTCCAATACGACCATTGGTTGCATGCATTTTTTGAGGTGTTAAAATGTAATAGCAAGGAAAATTCTATGTTAGTGCATTTAATTCAAAGTTATGAAGCTCCTGAAAACACAATTTTTATGCCAGCAACCCAGTATTGGGGAAATGAATAAAAGAAACAGGTTTTTTTGTTTTTTTGTTTTTTTCTCCTGAGAATTCAGATTACCTCAGACCATAACCTGGAACTGACAGAGAGACCACAGCAAGATCCTCCAGTTACCAGCTAGTCTTGCTTGGCTGCTTCCTCAAATACAATTAGTTTTCCCTTGGCTTTATACAGCTCCCTATAATTCTCCCTTTCTCTCACCAACTACACACCTGTGAGCTTCTGCATAACTACCAATTATCCAACAATAAAACATAATTAAGTTCTGAATTTTGTACATTTCATTGAGCCAAAACATGTAAACTCTACCTGGAGAAGCACTTTACTACTTTCAAATTTAAAGTAATACATATGGCAACGTCTTGTCCTATATATCATAACCTATATGCCATTTTGTCATCCTTTGAAAGTCTCATGGATGAAAACATTACAGCCTGCATTATGCTTCAGACACAAAAAAGGTACAAAGTAAGCAAACCCAATTCTTTATCCTAAGATGAGACACTTTTCTTCCCCATCAATTTCTAGAAAAGAAATTTCATCTAGAGCTCTTAATTAAAAAATAGACCTTCTATGTCTTGACTGTATCTGTACCGAAAAACTCTTGCTGCTGCTGTCACTTCTCATACATGGACACACAAAAAATCTTACCAGACTCTGTATTTAGGAGGACAAGAACAGAGGTTCAGTACTTTATTTAATGGCTAACTTAATCATAATGGTAACTGATGTATAAAATAGCTATTAGAAATAGCTGTTCCACAAAAAAAAAAAAATAAAATCAGCACATCATTTTTTAATATCTCATCAGAAACTATTCCAATATATCCTGCAAATGAGAAGAGAGCTTCATTTCAAAGAATAAGAGGGATTCATAAAGCTAAAACAATGGATCATAGTTATCTTAATCTATCCAGCTATCAAGAATTTCTTAGAGTAGTGATCTTTGGTGTTCTAGCAAAGAAAAAAAAATTATTTTCAGATGTACACTTAGGAAAAAAACACTTCATTAAGCATTTGGATTGTCTATGGTTTATAAGCATGTACTTATATACTGTTCCTCCCTTGATGTGAGCAGATAAACAAATCTAGCATTGTTACTGTAGAATAATAGAAAATTGCTAAACACAGAAAAGATATTGCAAAATGTCATAAAAGAGCCAAACCATTTTCCAGGGTTTCAAAATAATCTTTGACAGAAACTTTATTTTCTCCAATATTTTATTAAAAACATGCACATACACAAAATATCAATGAAGCACTAAGCCACCAGTCCACTAGATGTGAGCCTCTGACATCTTCCCTAAACTCCTTCAGAACAGTAATTCAGATCAATGAGATTACAATAATCTGAAATGGCCACAGGACTCTTTTAACCAAACACACTTCTAGAGAAAAAGGTAGGAAACTCAAAACACCATAAAAATTAAGGAACAAATGGTGCTTTCATACATCCTTTCACCTAACCAATAGGAAGAAAACCTTAAACCAATCACCAAAACTGTAATAGCTGGGAGTGATTCAGAAACAGTGGATTATCAATACCATGTTGGGAAAGATTAAGCACACAACAGTACTTACAAGCACTGCAAGAAAGGAATAAAGTAAATCAAAAACTATTAGAAAACATTCTATGTCCAAAGTTCAGAATTAAAACCAATGTTTTATTTGAACTTTCAAGGCCATCAAAGAATTAATCTGCTATAGTAAATTGGGACCATTACAAAATAAAAGGAAGAAGCATGATGTTAGGAAAATAGAACAAAATGATGGATGAGATCAAAGGATATTCTATTCTTGGTTTTGTCATTTGCTTTCAAAATGTAAGTATTTTGAACTACTACCATCTGCTGAGATCTGCAGAAATGTTACTGCAAAATCTGTGTAATATCTCTGAATACATCTGCATCAACAAACTACAAAAACTATCACTTGGTGCTGCCCACTTCTGCAAAGAGCTGCAGCTAACTCAGTGGAAGAGTTAACTCAATGGATGTTTCTTCAAATGAAGAAATTTGTTTAATGGATTTTTTATTTGATTCAGTCCCTCAGTTTTACTTTGATTGACAATCTGATTTCTTCTGCACAGCTACTGTTCCTTCCTTCCCACTTCTTTCTTTCTTCTAAAAATTCCACTGTTTATGGGCTTACATTTCAAATTTAAGGGTTTCCTAATTTTTACTTTTTATTGTGTTTTTAAGGATTGTTACAGCTTGACAAACATCCCCACACACTCTTTAATTCTTTACATTTCAGGATCTCAGATCTGAAAAGCCTTTTCACTATGAAAAGTGTGTAAAACTCAGTAAAATCTCAAAGAGACATGGGGAAATCTGTCCTTGTGTTCTGAGAGTCCACTGTGTGGTTCCTATCAGAAAACTGAAAGTATGTCTGCTGACTGCCAGTACAGATGTGCAATTAATGCATTTTCTGACACATGATATGTGGCTTACACTAAATTATGAATGATCTACATTTTTACTACAAAAGAACATGACTTCTAGTTCAGTACGAAGAGAAAAATGGGGAGAAGTAAAACCAAAGCCTGAAAGCTAGAGGTGAGTTAAACCACCAACCGCCAAAATGAAGTCACTAAAGCACATCCTTTGGGGACCACTTGACAAATTTTTATTTTAAATTTGGTCTTGTATTTGTTTTGCTTGTACCCTGTTGCTTCTGAGTCTTTAATTTCAATCTCATTAAAGTCTTGTTTTAATGGCATTGTTTCAGTGGTACTTGGAGGGGCAGAGAGGACCCTGAGAACCATCAGGTGCATTGTCTCTACATGAATCAACACATCCACGTTATGAAGGGATATGGAAGGAATGCCTGAGCAACCTCCAAGCCTCAAGGAGGACCTACAGCACCTCAGCAGCATTCGATGCAGCTGGAGCCTGAATAACTGTCTCCTGGCACCGGGCAATGACCACAGACAGATTACTTCTTTCTGCAAAATGCAACCTGTAGAAAAATATGCATCTCAAGGTCTTAGGCAAATCACAAAATGTGATTTAAATAGAAGTCAAAAATGCATCCAAAAAAAGCTCACATGTTGGCTAACTGAAACTAGAATATGAAGTCATAATTGACGAATTCAAGTATATTCCAGAGACCACAGCTGTCCTCATCATTTGTTTGGGGCTGATAGTCTCCTAGTGAAGCTTTTCTACCTCCATGTCTGTGACCTAGATAGCGCTCCAGGAACAGTATATATGGTAATTATTGGCACTGGGTAACACATATGGCATGAAGAGATTTGTCCTTCTACTAGTATCCTTCTCCATTCTGGTTTGCGTTTCATGTACAGTAACATTAACTTGTGCATTTATATAAAAACTAAAATGCATAAAAAATAAAAGGATATTGCAGAAACTAGAAACACAGCTATTCTTTTTTCCATTTTAGTAACCAACATTAAGAAAAACCAAATTAATTTGAGCAAATTTTCAAGGTCATTTAATCATTTATATTCACATAAGAACAAGTATTCAGAAGAAAAGTAAAGAGAGATAAAAAGATTTTAAAAATATAAAATAATTAAGCTATTTATCTTATAAACACAATATGGAACATCTTCTCTTATAACTTTTATTGAAAATCCGTGAAAATTATTTTGGAGGCAATATGGTATTTCCCAATTACATATAAAAGCATTATAGCAGCTATTACATATATTAAGTGAATTTAACTTTAGCCATCTTCATGTCATAGCATTGTGTTACAAGAATAAAAATACGTGTCATAAGCGGATTTAACACCTTTAGATGACCTCTAATCAGAAATGTGCCATGCTACTCAAATTCCATCTGTCAAATGCTGTAAATACAGGTAAGCAAATATAAATGTCATTAGAGGCACAAGTTACCTTACTGGGAGAAGTTCTAGGATTTTATTTTTTGACAGCTTGTAATTTGGATATCTTCCCGTGTCAACAAAACCTGTTCAAGCATGATCTTACCTTGTTTTCACTACATCAAGGGGATGCATCAGGCAAATTTCTACAAGACCTATAAAAGAATAACAAAAAAGGCCTAATAAACATTTGTACAAATAGTAATTTAATTTCCATTGACTCCAACAGTTTTTGAAATTTGAAAAGCAAAGTAAAAACCTACACATATCATTGATGACACAGTACTTTTATGCCTCATATATTAAACATGTGCTTCTGCAGTGTGAATAAACCATTGGGCTTTTCAACAGTGAACAGAACTAGTTGTTCACTGGAGTGGGCTAAGTGAGGACTTTACCTACACAATCAATTTAATCTTAGTTTTCTAACTTAAAAACAGTGGGAACATTTGACTGGCATCATAAAAAAATGCAATAAGTCTTGCTGAGAGTAGCAAAGTAAGGGAGTTCGGGTTGGTACTTGCTTCTTTGTCATACAAGAATAATTCCTAAGGACACTGCAGGACTGCACTGGTGGCTCAGATGCATTTGATGTTAAGATGACAGCTGATTCCTGAGCATCTGAGCTGCAGCCTCACTGCCTCCTGGTCCTACCCTGCCCTGTGCTGATGCTGATGTGTGGTCCTGGCTTTTCCCCTTTGAGTGTGAGTCAAGGGGTCAATGCCAAGGTAAGAGAGATCTGGAAGGTCCCAAATTCACCTGTCAACAACACCTTCAAAGTTGGCTCTAGTATTTTTTCCACCCACCTGACATCTGATGAAAAGTCCATACATAACCCAGGGAGAATGTTCTAGTTAAATTTCTAGGTTTGCCTACTCTCCTTTCCATTTCGCATAGCAGCCTCATTCCAAAGAGCAAACAAGCAGTAAAAAGTTGTATTTATCAGGACCACTGTAAAAGTGTATTTTATAAATCTATCCATCTGCAGACTCAATAAAAACTACTACACAAATCTTACAGGACTTTGAAATGCCAAAAAAATACCTGCATATATTCCTAGATAATAATTACAAGGTCTTTGAAATTTCTGTGCCCTGGTTTTTAGCAATCTTAAATGTTCACTTTTTACCTAGTGTAATAAATTCAGTGCTACATCATGAAGAAACAGGTTATGAAGACTATACTTATTACAACGTTTGAATGCATTTATTTACTTTATTTATGATTATTGTAAAAATAATTACAATGCTTTCATAATAAAGAATGTGTCTTTTGATGAGTCAGAGCTAAATTTCCAAAAATCTGGATTCAGGAAAGCATTCTTCTTCAAGTTAAAATATCTGCAAATTCCTTTCTTTAGGTATAGCATACAGTTCCACTGAAACTAAGCACTGCTAAAGTTCCAATAGATGCTCTCCTATTTCAGATGTCACTGGTTTAAGTTCCACATCCTGTCCTCTTCCTTTAATGACACACACCACATCTGAGCTTAGGTGTTACTAAAGCTAACAGTCTCTAACACAGTTTGTTACATGCTAGGCAACTCAACTACTTTCTTTTTCTAAGAAAAGTATTGAAATTAACTCAAGGAGAAAATAGCATTTTGAAATACTGCACACAAAAACTATTGAACTAATGGAATTTGCATTTTGGCCCTATTCTTTAACAGACTTGATGGAGGAAAGCTCTTGGTGAGCTTCGTGCAGGAACCAGGCCTGAGCGGCACAAATTGCAGTATGTAATCAGTTTCAGAAACCTGAGCCTCTTTTCGTTATTTAATATAATCTAAGGAAGGCTTAAAGTTTCATATTTTGATTATTTTAGAACTAATAACTTAAGTGTTTCAGGTAGAACAGGAAAATTGGGGATGTGGCTTAAAGTTTATATCAGAGAGCATTACATTTCAAAATATTATCTACTTTCTATTTCAACTTTATGCAAACCTTCTGAGTAAAACAGATACCTACTAGGTAAGCCTTTTAAATTGAACCAGAGCATTAGCAGAGGGAGGATTCTCATTCTAGTCAAAGGAGATGTAGCCAATAAATACAATAAAGTTTTTCGCTCAACCTATATTGAATACCTATATTTAAAAATAATAATTTTTCTGGTCAATACACCTTACATTTTGAATACATATATTATTGATAACTGTTACATATTTATGCTAAGGAATAATAAACTATTTATACAACAAGAAAGAACAGCAAAAGTTTTTGCACATGAACACAAGTAACTTTTTTTGGAGGTAGTAACTGAAGGAGGGTGTAAATTGTAATGCTAAAATTCTTCATTAAATGTATTTAACAGAAATTTACATTAAAAATTGTGAAGATGTTACAATGTTTAAGCTGAGTTTGTAACATAAAATACTCGCTGTGAGTTCTAATTTAACAGAAACAATTTTCATTATTTTCTATCATTACACTCTAAAGCGTAAAGACTGAAAAACATAAAATTTTCCACACACCCCTGACCCACAGTTTCTTGCCATTGAGTTTGAAGGACAGCATCAGGTTAATACTTATGATCATTGTTTTGCTGTATTTTCTTTTCACTCCATACAGCATTGGGGTTTTTTTCAATTTTGGATAAAAGAAAGACAACATAGGTGATATCAGCCAAAGAATATTAAAATTAGTAGTAATGAAATTCATTAAAAAGAATGCAATTTTTTCAATGAAAGCAAAAGCTGTCATCATTACTACTTTGCAGGCATATTTATTGCTGTAATTATTGTCCAAGAATTGCTTCTATTTTACTAAAATAAGATCATATATCACATTTCACATAAGGGAACTGTCCCAAAATCTATAAACTGCTCCAACAGCTGCCAACAGGTGCTTTGTGAGTGGAGCTGCAACTGAGTATTTCAGTGTTGGCAGGGGGCATAACCTATGAGTTTTTCCCCTTCCAACTACCCTCCTTTTCTAAGCTCTCTTTTTCCAACCTTCTCCCCCTGTCCCCATTTTTGATCTTCTATTCCCTCTAATTTTGGCAGATAGAGCCCACAGTAGGGGGCCAAGCATGGGGCCAAGGGCTGTTCACCCTATTCTGTTTTTGCAGCATTAATGACCATTTTGGGAGAAAACTGTAGAGTGCCAGAATTTGGCTCTATTTTCTTAGTCCTCATAGGATAATTTTTAATTCAGGCATTTTTCCAGCAACTGAATCAGATGAATTCCAAGGTCCTTGGCAAGAGCTCTGTTTTGATAAGTTCAGGATTCTATTGGTTATCTGCCTTTCTCAGTCTTTCCTTTGTCTCATCACATAATTACACACCAGGTTTTAAACGATGTATAGTTACTTGATTTCACCAGACCAAATTCTTCAAAAGATGCAGGGATTATGACACAGCTCTCTGAAGAGCAGCAAAGGACTGCACACTGTGCAAGACACTAATGGAACAGCTACAAACACAAGCTACATTTTTCCATCTACTATAGTAGTCATGCAAATCATTACAACATCCTACTTGATAGCCTGCCCAGAAAGTGTGGTGGCCCTACTAAATTACAAGCACTCTGAGATGTGCTCAATAAAATAAAATATATTGCCCTTTCTTTAGCTAATGTTCATCAGCTTTGTGACAAATTCAATTAGCACTATGAAAATCTAATTTACTAAACATCTCTATTAGGATGCAATATATCTTAACTTGTCACTCTGTAAAGACTACTGTTTACAAACTTTATTTTCATGATAAAGTAGTTAAAATAGTTACAGATACATTGTCCAAAAAGTACTCTAATAGTCCCATTGGGTCTCTTTGGTGAAGTCACATGCAAACTAACCCAGAGTGATATATGATGGCCTAATTATGTTTAAAACAACTCTGATCCAACTAGCTGAACAAGAGCCCAAAGGAAATATAGGAAAGAACAATTACTGGGTCAGTCCAATATTTGTTGTCTTCTGGGTGGGAAAACGTTCCCTGTGAAAACCAAATACTGACCATAAAACAAGACATAATCAAAATCTGGGTGTTGAAGAAATAACCAGCTGTCATCATTGACATGCTCTGAGCATACACAAGTGGAATATCAACAACCAAGAAGGGAGTCCAGAATGCTATTATGTAAAACATTCTGCTCAGTAACTGAGCCCATGGAGGGAATAAAATGACAGAAAATGCTGACCCCCAAAATGACCCTGCTCAGTAAATCATTTTCCCTTTCCCAACTAATATCTTCTGTCTTTAAATTGTTTCCCATTATGGGTTACATTACATTTCCCTCTACAAGATTCACTTAAAATTTCAAACTGGCAATTTCACATACATCTTTTCAACGCAAACATTTTGGTGACTGGTGGCTATTTTGAGCTCCTTTGTTCTTTGTTGCTCTATTCCATCATTCACACAAGTCTTGTATCAATAATCATACATGGCTTGAGAATATTTTGACATTGTTTAAAGTGTGTTGTAACAATCCATCTGGCAAGATGTGAAAGCTTGAGATTTCAGCAGCACAGGTTTATAGCTCTCCTTGTATCTGCAAGGGTTTCCATACTTCATCTATTCACTGCATAGGGAGAAAAAGAATGAAATCTAGCTAACAGTTCTTGCAAAATAATACAGATAAAACCAAACCATTTGGGCTTTGGAATGCCTTAGGAGAGGACTTCTATTTTTATCTCCAGCATTTCATTGATCCTGAAAGCTATGAACTGAAAAGTGTGAAGTGCCTGTGATGGACACTGATTTCTTTCAAAAAAAACCTGAGCAGCTCACCCTCTATGTGTTTTCTGCGCCACACACGAACACAAATTCAACACAGAATCAAGAGATGTAGAGCAGGATCCATGTGTTAGTTCAGACAACCCCCTACAGTGTAGAAGCCATTATGCACCCTCCTCCCCTTGTGTTACTCATTTCCCTGGAATAACACAGTCACTGGAGAAACACAACAGACAGGAGACTGGCCAGAGAAAATGTGGCAATAAACACATCAGGCACTGTATACTGTATAGCTGGAATGGTTGATATTTATTTTGGCTTTTACATAGATATAGTTACAATGTACAAAATGATCATAAATATTTTATGTGTACTATACGTTTCCTTCTGAGAATACAAGTCTGACAGAAAGAATCTCGTGTTGATCTTTGTATCCCAATCAAAACAATGACAAATTCCTCTTAAATATGCTTTTCT